TTTCTGCTGTTTGATCCTGGTACGGGACTATGTGATGGGATTCGGAAGGTCTCTCACGATTGATTTGTCGTTATCTCGTCTCGTGTTTCTTGCATGGTGTCTGCAGCTAAGAGATAGAGGCGGTGACGTGGGGAGTATAATGTTTCATCTCTCTGTGGCGCCTTTCTGCTTGGGCAGTAAGTAACGTGAACCATCTCGGCAGGATTTGGCGATTCTAAGATTTGGAAGGTTCAGTAAGGTTCCCTTATGTCGAAATGGTTTGGTTTCGCGCATCGACGGCCCGGTGGACACGCAGCTGAATGTCATCGTGTCGCTGCAGGACCGGGTTGCAGCTGCAAGCTGTGCAGATCGTAGCATGTTTCAATGTTCTCGCGACTCGGGTTGATGATTAAGATTTCGCGCAGCATGATGAAGCAAGAAAATTGGGTCCTCAGAGCAGTTGTGTGGCTCGCAGCAGAAAGTCCTCGGTCCACCCTCATGGCTGGCGAAGCCTTGACAGATCTGCGACAGTTGAATGCTGCCTCAGCTCGCATTGCAGAATTTGCTGTGAAGGTGTGCTACCCAAAAGTCATACAGTACCAGTTCGTCCAGAGTGGACAGCAGAAGTTGGCTCAGTATTTCAGCTGTCGCTTGACATCGGCTACGGAGCATGACTATTGCGAAGGGTGTGTGCGTGGTAGCAAAGAGCAGGTTCAATCTGCGGCAGAGAGCTTCAAGCATGGCATGATCTTCAAAATGAAGAAAGTGGTGTTGAGCCAGAAGGTGCCAACCACCTACATCTCGGCAGATCTGAAAGTTGTGGTGGACATGCAGAAGACCAGCTTTGCAGCGTGCAAGACGTCGAATTTGGCAGAGACATGTGTTTCCAAGCGCACGGTGAAAGATGTGTTGGAAATTACCAGCCAAATGTCCTTCGACCTGACAGCTTTCGTGAGATCTGCCTCAGCCCCGAAATCTGTGCAACTTAAGTCAGGCCAGGCTGCTGAGGTGGTGGAAGTGACTGTTGCTGACGGATCGCGTTATGAGGAGGGATCGCTGCTGTGTCTGACCATTTCCATCTGGGCAAAAGCACTTGCGGCAGAGGTTAAGGCGCAAGAAAAAAACATTGTGTCTTTCATGGGGCTGATGGCAGTCCCAGCACCTGATCGTGGAGCCGTGAGGGTGAAAAACGGAGACGCAACGTTCATCGTTGCTGCGTCTGATGGGCTGCAGAAGTCAAGTCGCGTACAGCGGTTGCAAACGGAGATGGCTGCGACGCTTGCCACAGATGCACAGCTGGAATCGATCGGTGAGTTTGTGCCCAAGCAGCTTCCTTTCGACGTTGCTGCCGAGCCCGCGCTGCTCACAACATGCCATCTTTTGGAAAGCATGTCGGATGACCTGAAGCTGGGCGCTGGCACGGCGCAGTTATTTCAGTTGAACGGTGTGCATTTGCAGCTGCCACAAGATGACAACGTTCTTACCAAGGACGGCAAACGAATCTGGTTCACTGCTCGGGTCTACGATTACACTGGCACCACGATCGTCGGTGTGTCGCAAGAAGCAGCCCTCGAGCTGAGCGGATGTGCAGACAAGGATGCATTCCTGCAGCAAGTGGCAAGCAATCAGGTGCAGTTTCCGGTGCTATCCACAGTTCGGGTGGTGCGCACTATTCGCGATTTGAAAAGCACCGATACTGCCCGCCATGCAGCCTCCCAAGAGGTTGGTGCTGCGTCAGACAGCGCGGACAAGGTTGTGAACGCTGTGGTGATGAAGGCCGCGCACTACTCCATTGAGCAGCTGCCAAGCAAAGCTGTGGATGACCTGACAGACTTGCTGTCTTGCACCAGTGCGGCTACTGACGGCCTTCTGCCATGCCAGCTGCAGCACGTAAGCCTGTCCTCTCACTATGGCTTCCAGATTGCGTACGGCGAGCAGAAACGCACATGCACCCGTGCGTTGGCTCTTCTGAAGTCAACTGAGAAGAGTGTGACCGCTGCTGTAGGCAGTGGCTTCAGAGTGACCACGAAAAATGTGCAGGATGCAGGCGATGCGGCCAACACATCTGTTTACACTGTGTCTGGCTACTGTTTGCTGGACAACGTCACCGAGTACAAGTTGGATCCTGCCAAAGGCGGCCGCAATCCTCACCGTTTGGTTTTGGCTGTCGTCACCGGCAAGATCGATGATGAATTTGTTGTCGAACAGCTGTGGCACCTAGACCCTAGTCAGGAGGCAGCCGCGCTCGAGCATTTCGCAGCTTTGCTGGCTGCGGCAGCTAAAGTGCAGGGAGGCATGTTGTCCGGCGCAATGAAACGAAAGGTCGAATGGACAAAGTCCACACCGCTGGATACGAGGAAATGTAGATCTTTGGCTCGCTATTCATGTCTAGCCTTTCCGGGGTTGCAGCGACATTTTGGGTGCCAATTTTGTTCAGCTGGCATCGTGGTCATAGCAGCTCGAGCCTGAGAGCTTGTGAGAAATGGCGTCAGCGCTGTGCGGTAGCTCTAAGTGCAAAGGTCTCTTGCATAGAAACGTGTTTCTTGCACGTCGCAGCATCAGGACTCCCTGGCGGGGGACCAACATTGAAGGAGGCCTGAGTTGCGATGTAGCCATGGATTCATGTCGAAGGTCTGGGAATCTTCAGGAACTGACTAGCGCTTTCCAGACGCGAGAGCCTCAAGAGCT